CCGGGTACAGAGTGCTTAAAGAGACTATTTCGGGGCTGGAGAGATGAACCGTGGCTAGGAGCATGAGCTATTCTTGCAAAGGACCTGAGTTCAGTTACCAGTACCTACATGATCATCCTTACCTCCAGTTTCATGATACCTAGTGCCCTCTTCATGACCAGGCATGTATGTAGATACATACATATAGGCAAAATAGTCATACATATAAAATAAAATATAAGTAAATATATAATATATATAAGAAAATATAAATAAACCTAAGAAAAAAGAGAGACTAGTAAGAACTTGTTATATTGGAGGTATCTTTTTGTTCGTAGGCATGCCCTACTAAAATAAACTACAGTAGTAAATTAACAAAATAGCCAAACTAAAGTAACTGGGTTTTTTTTTTTAAGCCCAAATCCACATTTTATTCTTTTGTGAAAGGAAGCTTTCCTTTCCTCTTTTTTCTTTCAATTTTATGAGAATTCTTCAAAACCTGCTTTGGGTAATGAAAAGGGAAGATGACTGTCGACCTCCTGAAGAGCCGGTATATTTTCCTACCTAAATGTGGCAACTTACTTTCCCTTTAGCAAAGCGATCTTCCTCCCAAGGTCCATCTAGAGCCTCAGTCCACTGGACAAATCTCACCCTGTTCTCTTCCCAGCCACATGATGCTATAGAGTGACGGCCCTATGCCCTCAGCATTAAAAGGCAGCACCGTTTGTCTTGCCACCTGCAACAGGTTAACAATCTCAGGTGTGCTACCTTTTGACAGTGTGCTTAGAGCTCTTCCTTGGCCTTAGAAATGGAGGAATCAAGATTTCCCTCATGCCTGTACCACTGGCCGCATTCTGATAGTTATTTATCCAGGGAACAATGCCTGAAACCTCTGGGATCTTGCAAGCTGCTCAGAGCCAACTCTGGCCAGTTGTTAGATGGAACAGCTCCAGGAAAAATAGAGCAGGCTGCCATACAGGATCTTTGTGATTTGTTCGTAGTACTGGACTCTTGAAGAGTAAGGGATCGGTGCCCCGGTGCTACCTTGAAGCATGATTTAGGCAAAAGAGTCTTTTTTTTTCTCGTGTGTATTCTTTGAACTTCTAAATTTTATTATTTAAATAAACTTCATGGTATATATTTGAGATTTCTAAGATAATGTTTAGGGATCCTTATAATAAAATGGTTCCAGGGCAGGAGAGATGGCTCTTCCAGAGGGCCAGTGCTCAGTTGCTAAGTACCTACATTTGGTAGCTTACAATTACATATGACTCCAACTCCAGGGTACCCAATGCCCTCTTCTGGCCTCTGTGGGCACCCACACAGATGTGCACATACACACCCCAGGGTTGGGGGAACACATACACATAAATAAAAATAAACTAATTACTGAAGCAAATCAACGTATCATCTTACATAGTTACTTTTTGTGTAACAAGAGCAGCTAAAATCTACTTATTTAATAAACCTCCCCCAAAAGTACAGCCTCCTTAATGATGGTCTTAATATTGAACCTTGGATCTCTAGGATTATTCATCTGTGGCTCTTTGACCTACATCTTCCCACTTTCTGTCTTCCTGGTAAATATGGTTTGCTTCTCCGTCTCTGTGTGTTCCCACAACATGTCCTACATTCCAGCATCCCAACCCGCTTGCTCTTCCCTCATTGCCCATCAATATCACCTCCATCCCACAACATGTCCTACATCCCAACCCACACAGCTCCGAAGCTGTCAGGGGAAGGTGCATCTAGGAGAGTTAGGATGCTGTTGGGCCACAGTCGGTAACTAGATATGAAAATTGGATTGAATCTAGATTTCCCAAGGAAATTGACCTGAGACTGGGGTGGACAGTGTTGGAATCATTTGGCTGTCGATGCTAATCACTCACCATTTTGTTTGGAAAGGGAAGCCCAGTAATCAAATAAGTTTAGTAAAATCTCCTGTGTTTACAGAGATCTAGTCAAAATGATTCTACATTTTACTATTTAAGCATCCAAGTGGAAGTCACGTTTTGCCTTTCTAATTGAGTATTTGCTTACATGTGTGTGACACACGATCCCTGAATGAAGCAAAATAGTAGTCTATCATAGTCTAATGCTTGTAGGGACTGGAATCCTGATAATTTTTTATCCAAAACTCCAAACTTTCCAAAAAAAAAAAAAAAGCACTTATATACTGTTACGTATCTACTACCTGTGGTAGTAACTCGATTAGAGCCCTGGAAAGGCTGTCACCTATTACTGGAGTGAGTGTGGAGGGGGAAACACTTAGATGCATTTTACCTTAGGAACACTGTTTAACTAGACTAATTCTCTCACTCCTCCCACTAAAATACTGATAGTGTAAGGGTACCTGCACCCCCACAGGGTTGGTGACAGAAAAAAAATCTAACATATTAGAATGGCAGAACTGAGTAGAGGGTTCAAACCACCCTGTTTGAGCTCTGACTTTGCCACCTACTCTGTGATCTCTGGTGCCTGGGAACGCGCGCACACACACACACACACACACACACACACACACACACGGCGAAGGTTCAGCTCTTGTGCTTTCCCATTCCCAGCCTCCACTCCCAACAGTCCTTCCTTCCCATGGGCCTACCAAATGAGTCCCTGACAAGGGGACCAGCACCAGGCCATGATCTGCTGCTGCAGAAAGGAGCGAGGGCCCTGAAGGAGGTGCTCTGCCTAAAGGGAATGTTCAGCCAGGCCCTGCATGAGATCGGGCCTCGGAGGAAGTGCGTGCATCTGTCCTCTCATCCTGGGTGCATTTCCGGAGGATTTCATCAGAATCCAGGAATCTGGAAAAGGGAAGAACAGCCAGAAGGTGTTGGAAGAAGCATGTCCTTCCTTCCCCTCCAACCAGCTTCAGCCTTTCCATTTTCTGGGTGTGAGTGTTTTGCCTGTAGCCCTGTGGCTGCTAGAAACTGAACCCAATGAACTGTGAAAGCTGCCAGTTCATTGTCACTGCTTCAACTATCAAGAAATTTATACCCGTTATTTTATTATCATAACTTCTTATTATTGCCAGTAGTAATTGCTGTTATTATAAAAAGCAAACACACAGTGAGTGTCTTACACTGGATTAAGTCCGCCTACTTAGTAACCATAGCAGCGATGCTATAAGAAGGATTCTATTGTTATCCTTGTGTACAAGTAAGTGAACTGGAGATAAATCAGAGAGGGTTAAACACTTAGCAAAACTGGTCACTGTTGTTGCTGAGGCTCAAACCTGGAGCTGTATGACTCTAGGTTCCTGTTTCTAATTAGTCTGTCACCCTCTGATGTACTTAATCATTAGCAGTTCAAACTCAGAAAATCTATGAGCTATATTTCACCCAGGACCCATACAAGTAAATCTCATGGACTGGTCAGTCAACAAACACCGTTTGAATATTTTACTGATATGTTTTCAAGATGAGGGGAAATAATGCTATCCAAATTAATATTTAAACTTAGTCATCTCAATGATTTAGCAATCTATGGTTTTAAAACAGGAAAACCCGTCCAGACCCTTTTGGGAGCAAAAATATCCGCTGAAGCTGAGAGTAGGGGCGCACACCTTTAATCCCAGTGCTTGGGAGGCAGAGACAGGTGGATCTCTGTGAGTTCAAGGTAGACTGTTTCTCATCCCTTTTGAGAACTAGAATGACTTGAGTGTTAGTTTTGGCACACCAAAGCACACACACAAATGTCCCACACTGTTGAGCACAGACTGGATGTTACCTAACCTCAAGAGAGCTCTCTGGGCTTCCTTGTGCTTCAAAGGACAGCCTCACATGGTATTTTCACAGTACAACGAAGGGCTTGCTTAGGGTGACGTATAATTAATCCTCCTAGGTGAGAAAGATAAAGATAAAGCTAATTATAGAACTGTGGCTAGTTGGAATTTTTGAAATTTTTATTAGCAAAATCTAGAGCATTTTCTATATAAATAAGCACATTAAATTATGTTGTGTAATCACATGGCGTAAATTACCAGTTGAGCGAAAGGCCTTGGTTGGTTTTCTTCCTTTCTGTTCAGCTGCTGACGTGGTTTCTATTGCAAATGATAAGAGAACACGTGGAGTCGAAAGCGTGGTACACTGCTGTGGCCACCAAGCAGCCTGCTCCAGCAGAGCACCACGCAGACGTTATGTCAACGCTTGCCTCAGGAGGGAAAAGTCAAAAGCTAAGAGGAAAAGTGGGGGATGTCCTTTGTGGAGTACCTCCAGAGAGGAAACAATCGCTCAGACACTTAAAAACTCAAGGGAATGGTTGTCGCTGCGTAAGGAGTTGTAAACCTCAGAGAAAACCAGAATGCCCTGTTTAGCATGTTTCAAGGGCAACAGCTTTGGATTCCAGCAGGCGAGGCGTTTCAACCTCCTTAATAATCGGAGCGGAGAGAAAGATTAAAGATAACCTGTTACTCCCAGTGCCACTGAGGCATCTCATCAAGTGATACACACACTGATTACCCACCGATGTGAAGAGATGTATTATCAATAGCTGGTTATCCGTGATCAGTTTGTAAACTAGCATGGGTTAAAAAAACGCCGAGGCAATGAATTTGAGACTAATTTTAATATTAGCTCAGAATAAAAGCAAACAATGTATAAAATAAACATTCTGAACTGGGAAGCCAAGTATAAATTCCTTTAGGATGACATGAAGTTATGGATTACTAACGTATCTATATGGTAATCCCTCCTTTAGAGCAGGTAATCCGGAACTGGATACAATCATTTACATGTTAGAAGTGATGGTAATTATTGCATGACATTAGTTTTACTAACTGCACCAAAGGAATTTTTTTCCTTTGTCAACAATTCTTTATTAAGACTTTTGCTATGCATAAAGTTCTGGGGTTTTTCGGGGTGGGGAAGAGAGTTCTAATATTTAAGCACAGATATAAACATGATTTTTCATGTTTGCGGAAACAGTTCCTCGTAATTCTGACATGAAAGGAAGTTGGTGTAGTAATTTGCTGTGCTCCATGGTTCCAACGATGATGTCTCTTTGCTTGGCTTCTCTCTCACCAGCCACTATCTACTTTTGCTTATGCAAGGCAAATCATTAAGAAGGAAGGCTTGGGGATCCAGGGCCTCAACAAAGGACTTACGGCAACTCTGGGACGTCATGGAATTTTCAACATGGTTTATTTTGGCTTCTACCACAACGTCAAAAACATTATTCCAGCCAGTACGGTAACTATATAAGCATTTACTATCTGTTGGGTGGAAAGCCTACTGATGTTCTTAGCTAACTTCAACTCTAGAGTGTTCGCCCTGTCCCCCAAATTCACATCCATTATCTGTTTGACCCTGTCAGACTATGTATTGAGTGTTGTTATTTCCCTTTCAAATCCAGAAACTGAGGCTTGTGGAGATCAGCAGTATAGCTGAGCCTGAACCCAAGTCTGGATGAGAAGGGTTCTCTCCGTGAAGAACGTCTCATTCAGATATGGAAGCTTTCTATTCAGCCCTAGCAGAAATTCCTGCAAACTGTGCTATCATTTCATTTCTGCATCACTCACATAACTTTCTCAAAAGCATGGAGTTGTTCTGTTTCATACCCATCAGGCTATATTTCAAGTTGGGAATTGTTACTTACAAAATCACTTAGCTTGATTTAGGTGAGGGATAAACCCACTCTTCTGGAGTCATTTGCTCTTGTTGTAATATAACAATGCTGATTGTGATGACCTTTCAGTGATAACTTACAGAATCCCACAGGCTCCCAACTCATACAATATGAAACTAGCCAGCCTATGGTGTACTTGTGACTCACACATCACAGTGTTTGCCCTCCATGAACCTTGACATTCATGATGACAATTCTGTGTGTTTTAGACTCTTTTTTAAAAAAATGCAACTCATATAACACTAGAGAAGTGTTTCTTTCTCCAAAAATTTGAGACAGACAGAAACTACATACATTAATTGTGTAAATCATTGAGACTAACTAAGAAGAGATGTATCTTATTATATTTTAACTGTATTTTAATGTATGTTATTAAAGTAAAGTAGATTCATTTATATTTAAGAAAGAAATTCAGGAAGATGGATAAGATGTGCATGTAGTCACACGTCACTAGATATTTTAAATGGAAGGGGAACAGTTGAAGATAGAAGACCCAGCAAGTGTTGGAGGAGATGAGAGAGGGTAATGGTGAATATAATCACACATGTGGTGGTTTGAAAGAAAATGATCCCCAAAGGGGATCCTAACAAAGGCATTGTTAGGAGGTGTGACCTTGTTGGAAGAAGTGTGTCACTGGGGGAAGGCAAGGTTTGAGGTCTTCTATGCTCAAGCTACACCAAGCCCGGTTCACTTCCTGTCGCATGTGGATCAAGATGTAGGACTCTCGGTTCCTTCTCTAGTACCATGCCTGCTTGATACCACCATGTCCTGCCATGATGATAATGGACTAAACCTCTGAACTGTAAGCCACCTCCATTAAATGTTTTCCTTTACAAGAAGTAGCTTGGTCATGGCTTCTCTTCACAGCTATAGCAACCCTAAGACAATATGTAAGCAATTATCAAAAATAATTAAAGAATCCACAAGTTGTGTCTCATGCCTGTAATCTCATCACTCTGGAAACTGAGGCAGGAGCATCATCACTACTTAAAATCCAGCCTGAGATAAATTTTTAAGGCAAAGTAAATAAATATCTACACATTCAAACTTTATTCTAGAGTTAGGCACTCTACAGTTGTTATTACAGTTATGTTCTGCATAACTAAAAAAGATCAGAAACCTAGAAGTTTCTTTATTTTCTTAAAAGATCACACAATCCTAAAACAATGGAAGGAGATAGTTTTCTTGCCTGTTTGCAAACCAACTTTGTTACTAGTGTGATTATAATGTTTTATTTCAATAAACACTTTAACGAAGTACTTCTTTTGAGTTGAAGATATGGCTCAATCATTAAAGCCTAGGCTCACAACCCAAATGTCAAGTGCTTCTCTCTATATACCCAGTGCTCAGTAAAGTGTGCCCTGTTCTCAAAGGGGCTCTCAAGAAGCCACGAAAAGAAGGCCACTGAACAAGCATATTGAAATAATGTTTTATTATATTTAGATGGGCAATGTGCTGACAGTCATTAGTTAATAATACTTTCAATCATGTATGAGAAATGCTTTATAAACTCTCAGGTTCCATTTTTCTAAATTTGGGCTGCTGCTCTAAAAACAAATCCCATCTCAGTTTTTAGCATGTAATAAATCACCATTGTCTAAAAATAATGGGTTTTTCTAACATTTCTCCCTCCAGCACTCCAAGGTCCGCGCTGCTGTCAGCTCCCACTCCCACTGATAAAACACATATGAAAATGGAAGCTCGTAAGGACAGGGGCTTTTCCTGATTTTTTTCTTTTTCACTGCTGTGTCCTCAGAGATAAAAACAGCGCCTGGTGCAGAGCAGGCCCTCAGAAAAATCTCTGTTAATGGATCACATGAGCGAAGGAAGAAATGGCTGGAAAATGTGTTTCCTCTCGCTGCGCACTTGAGGGACACCTTGGCATTTGGGAGAGTCACTATCTTAATTAATGTTAGTGTATAGGAAGGTGGGAGAACACTTACGGTCAAAAGGCTTAGAGCTAGAGTGACTCTCACATTAACCAAACAGTAGCCCAAGAAAAGAAAAGATCACAATAGGGTATTTATATTCAGAAGGTGAGATGTTTGGTTTCGGAAATGCTTCTGAAAACGGAGATTTTCACATTGCCGAGATAAGTTTCCCCAGGCTGCCTCGGTAGACTGCCAGAGCAGGCATTTTGGCAATAACCAAAAATCTTAATGACGTCAGCAGTGCAGGCGAGCTACTGCTGTGCAGACAAAGCTCCCAAGGGCAGCAGAGAAGGGTGTGGGGCATGGTGTGAGCTGCTCTCCTTAGACTCAACAGCCATATGTTTTTTTGGAAATCTGGTTGGTGAAATGTCAATGGGTGTTTAACAAAAAAGTTTCTTGAGACTAGACTAATAAACAAAGGCTTAATGTATTAACCAGGACCCTAAGGAATATTAAGTTCTCTCCTACCTCTTTAAACAAAAGATATGGGCTAGAAAAATGGCTCAGAGGTTAAGGACACTTGTTGCTGTTGCAGAGGACCCGGGTTCAATTCCCAGCGCCCGCATGGCAGCTCACAACTGTCTGTAACTCCATCTGTGGGCAAGTGTGTGGTGCACACAAAGACAACCACAACACTCATGAACATAAAATAAAAATATGTCTAAGAAAAATCTTTTAAAGATGTATTTTGTTCTTTATGGTTTTAGGGTTTTTGTTTTTTTTGTTTTTTTTTTGAAGAACAATCTTACTATCGAGCCTCACTCTGGCCTTGAACCTACCACCAAGGCCAGGCTAGCTTTAAACTCACTATCCTCCTGCTTCAACCTCCTGAACAGAATTGGAATTGACATTTTAAGTTGTGTTATGATTCTTACCTGTCAAGCTGAAAACCCAAAGCTGTGCACTTCACTCTCTCACAACCACCCCAGGTAGCATATGATAAGGAAGCTGCTGAAGGGCAGTTTATAATTATTTTTTAAAGTAAATAATTCTTGGTAGGTGGCTCACATCTAAAATTCCAGCACTTGGGAAACTGAGCAGAGGGACTGCAGAAAGACCAAACGGAACTACATAGTGAGTTCAAGGCTAGCCTGAACTACAAAATGATATATATATTATATATGACTGGACATATCAACCCCACTCCAAGATAGGCCTCCTACTTAGGCGGCATTAACAAACACAGATGGAATCCATGTTTATAGTGGCTTTTTAGTGTGTGTGTGTGTGTGTGTGTGTGTGTGCGCATGCACGCGCGTGTGTTAAGAGTGAGTAGCTGACCAATACAAAAGGAACTCAAGTTTTGGGGTTTCGATGGACTTTTTGTTTTACTTTGTTCTCTTTTGTTCTTATTTTGCATTTCATTTTTGTGAGTTTTTTTTTTTTTTAGAGAATGGCGGAAAGACAGAAGGAAATGGAACATAAAATTGTGTAGGTAGGAAGGCAGAGAAAATCTGGGAGGAATTGGGGAAAGAAAAAAAAACATGATCCAAATATTGTATGAAAAATTTTAATGAAAAAAAATGGTAAAGAAATTGGGTTTGGGAAAGATCTGGGAGGAGCCGGGAGAGAGAAAAATATATATGAAATTATCAAAAACTAACTTTTTAATTGTAAAATCTATTCTAATGAGGGAGAGGCATCCAAACCGACTAGCTAGGCTGTCAACACGACCGTTTTGAGCAGAATTACCTGACCGCTTTGGTTCAGGTGTGAAAATTAATGGAGCAGCAATGGTGAGAGAAAGGGAGTGCATTCATGGAAACTATTTCAGTGTAAAACGGTAGTGTCTGGAGCTGCAGAGCTCACGGTGAAGACAAGGAAAAGCAGACAGATTGAGGAGCAGTCTTAAGGACTCTCCAGGATGTAGTGATAGACTATATGTGTATGCTGAGATCACATGTTGAGCTGATAAAATTGACACTGAGATTTTTGGTTAGGCAGCTGTAAGGGTGATGATGCCCTTCACTGGGAAAACCACACCAAGAGAGAAACCAACTGATAGAAGAAATCATAGGCTCAGTCGGGAAACTGAGTTTAACTGCATTTGCTCCAGAATCCAGACATGGAGGCTATTGGCTGAACATAGGCTCTGGGACATGAGGGGTCTGGGACAGAGATACACAACCGGGTATCACCATTAACCTCCATTCCTTCAACAACCTTGAGGCAATCGCTTCACTGCTCTGAGCTGCAGGCATTTTCACCTATAAATTGAAAAGCTATGGTTGCTCTTTCTATTGGATAACGTTATTTTGAGAGTTAAAATAAGCAATCTACAAAGCCGTTTATGAATGTTAAAATGCCATAAATGTGTTAAGTGTAGTAGTGCCGATGACGGCGACAGGAAGCAGAGGTGATGTGGGCTGCGGTGAAAGCGGTTAGCATGTAGAATTACGTGAGCAACTTTTCCCTAGGATTCTTCTTTGTGCACTTAAATGAACACTGTGTTTTCCTTGCCTAGAACAAAGTCATTGATTTTATGTGCTCTGTAATCTAAGCCTGACTCAAAACTGGGAAACCAGTATTCTTTAAATTTAAACCATAATAAATCAATCCTTTGTGAAGGGGAAGGTATGATAATCATTAAAACATGTTGAAAAACGTCATCGAGTGCCTATAAACTGCGATGA